ATATATATCACTGTAAAATAAAAAAATATAGTTATTCTTTGTTTTAGGATCTTAATGCTTTTATATATATGTATGTGTGTGTGTGCATGTTTGTGTGTGTATATACATATATATATATATATATATATATATATATATATATACACACACACACACACACACATATATATATATATAAAAGCATTAAGATCCTGACAGGGTGATTATCGTTAACTAAAAATAGAACTATTAAAACATTTTTGTAAATTGAAATAATAATAATAAAAAATGAAATTAAGTAAAAGAATAAAATAAAAATATTAGAATAACTTGTTGAACTGAAATGTTTACAATGAAGCACAAAAATGAATAAACTGCAAATAAATGAAAACTAAAATGGAACTAAAAATAAATTACACCTAAACAGCAATATATAAAATAAAAACACTAATACAAATGAGAGAAACACATTACAAAATTACTATAAACTGAACTAAAATTGAAAATGTAAACCTAAAATCTAAAAATGAAATCAAATAAAAAATATGAAGAAATATTATAACAGTATATACAGTAAATAATACTAAAAAAGTTAAGTAACACTTTAGTATAGGGACCAATTCTCACTATTAACTAGTTGCTTATTAGCATGCATATTACTAGCATATTGGTCATTTTTATTAGTGTTTATAAAGCACATATTCTGCATGACCATATTCTACATCCCTAATCCTACCCACTACTTAAACTTAACAACTACTAAGCAATAATTAGGAGTTTATTGAGGCATAAATTGTAGTTGATAGTTAATTAATACCGAGAATTGGACCTTAAAATAAAGTGTGACCAAAAACACTGCTTTTAAAGTGACTGTAAGTACTACTACTAGTATTAGAATTAGAAATGGAATTACAGGTAAAAATGAAATCCCATTCAATGAATGTCAATGGGGTTATGATCCACACAAGAAAGACAGCTCTATGGGTTTGGGGTGACTTAAATCATGACAGAATTTTAATTTCCTTTAACTTGGTAGGTTCATAAAGCAAGTAGTCAAGGCCTTTCCTCAAACCCAGTAGCATTTTGGTTAAAGCATTACCTGACCTGCAACCCATCATTCCCTCGCTATCCTCCCTTACCGAGCGCTCAGCAGTTACCTTGCAGTCAGTCTCAGCACTTTAGAGATCAATCCCGTGGCCAGACCGTTGATGCCGGCCTCCGACGGCGCCTTGCAAAGCGCCCTGTCCGATCTCCCGAGGTTCGTTTTCTGCTTCCTCCGCACCTTTTTGCGGTAAAATGCCCCGAGCAGCTCCATGCTGTCTTTAGCCGTCTTCTGATAAACTGAGAGTAAAATGCGAAGCGGCTGGAAGGTTGGCAGGGTGCAGTTTGACGACGCAAAGAACGTTAAAACACGCAATTAAGCGTCATTAAAAAGTCACGATAAGAACTAGAATAAACATCCTGTCCTCGCCAGCACTGGACAAACATATTTCAAAAACGAAGATATGGAGGAAAAAGCTTCCTTTGTGGGATAGGATATTAGAAAGTGTTGGATATAAGAAACTGGGAAAAATAGTAAAATAACGCACCGCACAGACAGCCCGGAGCAAATGTGAACACATGATAGCATGCGTTCATAACGTCAAACAAAGACTGGCCTTTGTGTGCATCTTCCTCTCTTCCTTTCTTTTCTCCCTCTTCATCATCACGATCATCCACGTGATCCCAGACAAGTCAACAAGCCTATCCGTGCCCAGAAGGCATTATGGGAACAGGAAGGCCATAGTTGGGGTGTGTCGCAGGGTTGCTTTCATGTGTCGCTGACAGCCGTCTCCGGGCCTGCAGGGAATATGGGCAGGTGTAATAGCACAAGTGTCTTCACCTGTCTGCAGAACAAGGCCACTGGACGCGAGCGACGTGGTGACATATTGCTCCGCTCACTGAGGTTTTACATCACCCGAGTACAATAACTGCTGATTTCCGTGGCATCCCATCATTCCCAGGAGAGACGCTTCACGGTAATCTGACTCCTAGGGAATCCAAAGGGTCTGACCCACACAAAAACCCCAAAACCGTCTCTCTCGGGCCTTCTCGTCGCCTCCCCGGCTGGGCCAGACTACAGAGGGTGTGTCCTGCTGCAGAAACCTTATCTGATCCCTGGGAACGCGGCTCGTCAACTGCGCTAATCTGTTTGATCTGAGAGGAAGCTGAAATTGGAGAATTGGATTAGGCGGGAACGGTGGGCTTCCAGAGGAGAATGGAGATGCTCGCTAAATACTGTCTGTCTAGAGAGATGTCTGTTAGATATAGTTGTGATGGAGGAGATCGCAGGTTTCACAATTTACATACTTCCATGCACTAAACGTACCTCAATGGTGATGGGACAGCATGCAATTTCATTATGTATAGGTATATATACAACACCGTTCATTTTTATTGTTGTTTTTTCTAAAGAAGTTTCATATGCTCACAAAAACTGTATTTATTTGATCAAAAATACAGTAATATTGTGAAATGACAACTTACAATTACATTTTTTTTTTTGCATTTTTTTCAGAATTCTATGATGAATAGAAAGTTCAAAAGAAGAGCATTTATTTTAAATAGATTTTTTTTTCGGTAAAAATGTGTTCAATGTAAAATGCCTGGGATGCAAGCTTACATCTGGATGGGATCTCATGACCATTGCAGTATAGGTGAAGCAACTGTCTTCAGTAGAGTTCTTTAAGCTGACATGGTTCATCAGACTGAAGCTATCCAGGGGGAGACAGGTTGTGTTATTAATGCATGTCACTGTGGGATTATGGGAAATCCTACCTCGGAGTGTGCGAATAACATTGGAATGTTCACAATCCAGGAACACAGAGCAAAACACACATGACAGATGAACTGCGAGTGAACTAGACGTTATTAACATTCTAAAAGAAGCTTCTTCTAAGAACTGACTACAGTGTTATGGAGAAAACCAAGTAAGTGAAAGAGAAAGATGAAAGAGAATTTAAGATGCCAGAGTTTTTCATCCCAAGGCACTTTAGACTCACTTCCTGTAATCGTTCTCTGCATACCTAATGTATGTGTACAATAACACGTACATTCATGTAAATAACTGCTCTAAACTGTTGGGTCGGCCTGGAACACTGCTGTCTTGGTTCCATTTCTATTCATTGTTTTTTTTGTTTTTTTTACACACCAAACATCTTAAAATTGTCAAATCACTCTGTTTCTATAAAAGTCTAATCAAAACTCCAGTAGCTGCAGGAACGGACTGCCTAAATGTTTTTTTTTTTTCTTTCAGGTCTTGTGTAGCATTGCGACGTCCATGAACGCATGTTCAGAGCACAGACGTGAGTGGAGCATCCAAAACAAGCACTCAAACTAGGTAATCTCACAAATCTGGCGGGTTTGAGGATGGCAACTAAACACGGACAAAATTAAGTCACGTTCAGTATCTGTGTTTAGATGAGAAGGGCCGGAATATTGTGCACGTTATCTGTCGCTGTGTCTCTGGGGCGATCAGCGCGCCATCTGTCGGACCAATGCAAAATAAATGTCCTTTGTCATATACTTATGTATTTGAAATTACAGTATATTATGATTAAATATTTACATATAGCTACTATTCAGAAGTTTTGGGGTTGTTTGTTTTTGAAAAAAACCTCTTCTGCTCACCAAGGATGGATTTAATTTTATTAAAAATACAGTAAAATCAGTAAAATTGTGAACTATTATCACAATTTCACATAACTATTTGTTTTCTATTTGAATATATTTTAAAATTTATTTTATTCCTGTGATGCAAATATGAATTTTCAGCAGCATTGTCACATGATCCTTCAGAAATCATTCTAATATGCTGATTTGCTGCTCAAGAAACATTTCATTTATTATCAATGTCGAAAACAGTTGTGCTGCTTAATATTTTCTGTGGAAACATTATTTTCAGAATTCTTTGATGTATAGAACATTACAAAGAACAGCATTTAGTTGAAATAGAAATCTTCTTTAACATAAATTTACTGTATTTATTTTCACTTCTGACCAATTTAATGCATCATTGCCCTATAAAAGTATTCAGTTCTTTAAAAAATCTTACAGACCCTGAACTTTAAAAAAAAACAAAAAAACTATATATATATATAGTATATATTTATATATATATATATATATATATATACACACACACACAC